ATAGATAGATAGATAGATAGATAGATAGATAGATAGATAGATAGATAGATACTTTATTCATCCCCAGGGGGAAATTTGTTTGATGCACATGTGCACAAGAGCTAATCAACAGCAACATAGCAGACAAATCAACAACCTGCAGACAAAAGACAGGACTATAAATACACAAGAAACTAATCAGACAACAATACACAGGTGGGCAGCCTGAAAGCTGATTGGTGGAAGAAACACAAGGGAACAGAGCAAGGCTGAGGAGACTAATGATACAGCACAAGGATCACAGAAAAAAGGAGGGAAAAATCACAAGGATAGAAAGTCAAACTACCACAGGACACAGGAGGCAGGGAATTTCAAAATAAAACAGGAAATAAACTAAATCTTAACTAAAATGTTTACAGACCTATATAAGAATAAGAATACTACCAAAGAATTGATGCTCAAGTGAAATGAAATGTTGAGCATGGATCATGTTGACATGTTCCTCAACAGGCTCGTAGCTGGATGTTGTGTGCAAAATATTGTCTAAGTCAATATAAAATTCACATTTCATCCAGCCACTTTGTTTTGTCAAGTCTTAATTTGCTGTTGCAGCAGCCACATTCACCAGCCATCTGTTTTTGCAGGCTGACAATCATGCACTTGCTAGTTTTTCCTGCCATGAAGCAACTTTCCTATAATACGTCTCACTGTCCCTCCACTGAACACCTTCATCACAGTTCACCTCAGTCTGAGCAAAGAGTCACATCAAAATTCTGACATGCAAATTAGAAATGTGACACTGTTGCTGTCTGACTGTCTCAATATATAGGACTATATGAAAGAAGCCTAAACCAGAACACAAAATTACGATTTGGTCTTGGTGTCAAAATAGATCAGAGTCACATAGTATTTAGTTTGAACCTTCAGTTGGAGAATACAGTGCCGTATGATGTTTTTCAGAAAACTGTGTGTACCTTTACCCTCCCACATCTTTAATTTTGCTCCTGCTAGCAAACCCACAGCGTACCTTTTCTCCAACACCAACTCAGCACCTCTGTTCAAAGCTGGGGAGCTTGTTTTATTAGCACCTACATGAACATCCTTGATGCTGTTACAAAAGCAATTAAAGACAAGTAACCCTGCCTTATCCACTCGCACTCTGAAGACAAAGTGTGGAAATAGAAGGCTGCAAATTATAACTGTTCTGCAATATTAAGAAAGGCTTGATGTTGAAACATAATAGGGAAGCAGGAGCCACTTATTCCACCAACTGTTCATTTGTTTTCTGAAAAGATAGATGGATGGAAAAAAATGAACAAGGACCATACTCTTACTCTATATACACAACAAAAGTACAGCAGCATGTATGCATTATTAACAGGCAAAGGTGTTTCATTGGAATAGCCTGAGGAACATTAATAACAATACATGCAATGAATCCAAATATGCACAACTTGCTAAGGCATACACTCTGGTATGTATGATGGTTTGCACCTCAGGGCTATCGTATGTTTGTGAAAGGAAGTGAGTATCACATTCAAGCCATTACCTTTGAGTAGAAGCAAATTGCTTACTGATTGATGCCCGCACTGAATCCGACAGTTTTTCTCAGTTGCTTTGGCACAATCGAACAAAGATTATGATTCTCAAACCACTGTGTTGAATTCTACACAGCTCATTTTCTCACAAGAGTAAACTTTTTCATCATGTCTGCAATCTGGTGTCAGTTTTAGTTCAGGTGCCACTCATCAAGTGTGAGTTCTCTGCAGAAATATGGACCCTTTGACTGAGATATTTTTTATATATTATGATTATGAGTTTGTTATTGCATCAGTGAGTGAGCATTTTTTTGCAGCCATGTTATTTAGTTTATTTCAGTGGTTCCCAACCCAGGGAGGGGTCAAGTCCCTGCCACAGGGTCACAAGATAAATCTAGGGGATTTGTGAGATGATTATGGTACAAAGGAGGAAAACAAAAAAATAAATTATGTTACACACATTTACATTTGTTTTACAACTTTTCTATCTTCTTGGACTTATGTGAAATATTGTATTTTTCCCCCCTTTTGTGAGCCTCCAACAGTTATGTAAAATGGGACCATCTGGAAGGTTCAGAGGGGATATCACTCATTAAACTTCCCAGAACTCATTGACCTGTTCGCCTGTGCGTCATGGGTGTGTTTGATTTAGGTCACTTAACATGCTGGACAGGTCGTGCTTTCAAACAGGGATTAATTAAGGTAGATGTAACATTTTTTACCTTCACCATTACCCATAATGATTCTTAATTGTATTTCATTGGAGTGAATTTAGTTAGTCATGTATTTTACATACAGCAAGGTTTTTTGAATACAGGTATACGACAGTGACAGTGAGAAACCTTGTCAGTGGCGGAATGTAGCAAAGTACATATATTTACGTAGCTTACTGTACTTAAGTACAAATTTGAGGTACCTGTGTTTCCATTTTATGCTGCTTTATACATCTAGTATACTATCAGAACGTTTTACTCTACTACATTTATTTGACATCATTAGTTACTAGTAACTTTGCAGATTTAGATTATTAATATAACATAGGACATATTGGGCTTTCGCATGAAAGCCCAATTGGTCACATTTATGATGGATTTTTATGGATTATTAAGATACCCGGCTGAATATAAAGCAGTAGAAATCAGCCCACCTTTAACAACATTAGAGTGATGTAGCCTGCATTAATGCATCACTAATCATAATCCAGTGCTTTTGTATGCATTCAGCTACAATTGGGCCATCCTGCATAATGAGTAGGTTTACTTTTACTTTTGGTACTTTGAATATGTTGATGCTGATAACTATCATAGCTGTTTTACTTAAGCAGGATTTCGAATGCAGGACTTTTACTTGTAACAGGGTATTTCTGCAGTGTGGAAAATAATGCCAGTTCATGTATTACGGTATATATAATCCAATGTGCGCTTTTGTGAGAGCGCCGGTTATTACGGTAATGCTCAGCTCTTAAATTGTTTGCTGCTCCGGGGTTTGTGAAAAGCACGGAGTGCTGCGATGAGACGCCACACTATCCACGCTGCTCAACCACTGTAGTGTCGGCTAACGTTACACTCTGAAGCAAACTCTGGAGACCACTCCACGGCCGTCTGTAAGTTACGCGCGCTTTGTGTGCTTTTAAAATATATTTCCCATTGTCTGTAACAATGTTACTTTAACACGCTTCAAGCGGTGTTTTGTATCTGTTTTTGTATCGGTCTTGGGAGGGTGCACATAACTCATGTCAAAGCTGCGTTCTTGAAGATATATATATATATATTTTTATTATCAAATCCGGCTGTTAAGTTTCTTTGTTCTCGTACTAGTTTATGTGAGTTGTCGGTCACATGTACAAAAAGCTGGAGAAGCGAAGTTGAGCGCGTGGTGGACAGCTCTATGAAATTATTAAATGATTTCCCTTCATGTCAATAGTATGTAACGTTACAAACGCGTGTTTTAAATAGAAGCCCCTTCATATTTAAGACATGGTTTAGCTCTATAACCGTGTTAACGGCTGAGCTGCTCCACCCTGTAGCGGTGAAGTTATTTAGCAGTGAAAGGTTAACATGAGTGAGTATACTACCAACATTACCATGGTATTCTAAACGACAGCGCTGAGCTGATATGTCTTTATTTCATTAATACATTTGTAGTTTCTATGTTTAACACGTTGAATGAATGTTTTAAAAGGTCGTGGCAGAGTTGACTGGTTTATAGGTGAAAGTGGATTAACCAGCGTGGGAGCCAGACTGTCTGTGATAGAATTTACCCTATTAGGGCAGCGCCTGATGATGATGATGATTCTATTTAAAAGAGAGAGAACATGCACAGTAGTGTGCTGTAAATATGAATGTAGGTTGTGCCACTGTACACAGTTCAAATTTGTAATTGGGATTAAGTAATCAAATGAGATTTACTGCAAATGCAGTGATCTGCTAGTCTTTCCTGGGAGAGATGGGTCACGAGGTGTGGAAGTTGTGTTAACGCCTCACAGTTCAGGTGAGTGTTTGTTGGTGTGTTAAGACTTGTCCTAAGTGGTGTTCAGCAATGCTGCAGCACTGCCGTGTTGCCAGTGTTGTGAACGACCTACATCTTACTGTTGAGCAGTCTGCAGGATTGATTACTGAAATGTCGGCTTAACTTTACTTTTTAACCTCCCACCACTGAATTTGTTGAGTATTATAGACGGAAGGACAGACATGAAGAGTTTTATTTTTCCTTTCTAAAATGAAGCTGCTGCATATCTCATGCTTGTGGCCCATGTTTTGTAAAGCTTAAAACCATTTCCACACAAAACAAAAGCCAATCCAAGATGCTGGCTTGGGTCAAACAGAAGCCCACAACATGAGTGATGACACTGGCTCTTACATTCCTCCAAACGAAAGATTAAAAACTGGAGTTGCAGGAGATGGATGAGAGCTATTATTGCCCCCCAGCATGAAGCCTTTTAAATGGCTTATTTGTTCCATTTCATGAATTGAGCCATATTCCCGTGCCAGCAGTTGCACTTTTTTTTTTTTTCTTCTAATTTCCTTGCGATCAAGAATCAACATGTCATCCAGGCTCTGTGGGCGGGCGGGGGATTCTAATTGGCCGAGGCAAAAGGACGGATGAAACAAGACTTCCTTCTCTGTTCTTTGTGCCCATGGTGACGAGGTTTATTTTTTATTTTTAACCAAAGCAAGTAATTGGATATTTCATTGTTAACATGGTTGAACTGTACTTTGTGAGTGCAGCGGTGTCTCTGGTAAATAGGTCAGATCTGGCCTGATGATGACCTTTTCAGACCGCTTGTGACTGCAGGATATCGTCACCTCAGCCAACTCTCAAATCTGCAGGTTTCTCTCGCTATGCAGAACAAAAGCGCCGGTCTCGCTGTTGCCTAGAGTTGGTACACATTGTCTTATGACTGTCTGAACAATGGAAATGTTACCTTCCTATTCAAGGGCACAGATTAACTACAGGGTCACTGTTGGTGGAAATGGTATACTGTACTATATTTATCACAAAATAAATGGTTGAGGTGAACAATCGTTTCTCTTTGCAAGTTTTGAACGTGTCCCTGTGCACACCACCAGACTGGATAGAGAGCCTGGTCTCAATGGAGCCGGGCTGTGGAGCTGAAATTATCCTCAGTCCAGCAGCAGCAGCAGCATATGTGTCTGGTTGTGCGTCTCAATGGAGTTTACATGAAGAGGCGGGCAGCAGCACAGTACAGTCCCACGGGTCCCTCACACACTCTGGGCATGCTGTGTAGCCAAAGCAGATGGTGACCCCCTTTTTATTTATTTAACCCCTCAGTGATTTATTAACGCTTACATTCACATTACAGTCAACAAACTGTAGATGTTGTAATTTTAATGGTTATTTTTAGCATGTGAAAATGTACATTTGTATCCACTGAAAGTGTGCGGGTGAACTGTGTACCGCCTGAGGCTCAGATGAGACACTGTAGCACAAAGGGATTTCTCTCTTAACAGTGGCTGTAAAGGATATTTACCTCAAGACTTAATCCTTTGTTTTTGTTATGTTTTACAATCGCAGCTCACAATGCGCATCTCTTCTTCTGGCGTTGTCTTGGTAGTTGTCAGTTAGACGTATTCTTAAAATAGCCACAACTATGAATATGATTTCCCTCAGCAAAATGGTGGGAGCTATATTTAGTTTCGTATTTCTTCGCTGACTACTGATCCGTCTCCAGGGACTGCAGTGTGAACCAGCAATATTCCTCTGACAATGAGGGTGGCTTTCTTTCCTGGCGTCATTGCTTTTAATTTCCTTCTACGTGGTGCCACAGTGGGTTTGCCAAATGCTTCAGTAATGAGACCACAGCAGATGTGCCTCCTGTTATTTCCAGTGGATTAGAGAAGCTAAGAAGACCATATGTGGCTTTTCAGACTTCATTGGTGGGCTGCTCAAGTCATTGATTACATCTGGGGAGACAGAAAAGCAATTCAGCTGTTGAGTGGCGTCAAAACACTAGACAATTTCTGTGTATATTTGGCAAGTCATTTCCCTCAGGCGCTTCCAGCTGTCTGCATAAACTGAGCAAAATCTCATTTTGGATTCATTAGCTTTGGTAATCTCTGTATTTCATATTTGAATGTACGTGTGGTGCTATATCTTGTTTGACTTGCATCTTTTTTTTTTTTTTTTTTGTTCTGTTTTTAATGATACTGCTTTGGTCTGTGTAATTTGCTATAGTTATTTTAAAGAAAACTCTTTTTTTCTTTTCTTTTTAAAACATGCTATTTTCAATCAACAGGTATATTTGAGGGGACCCCACAGGACATTTGGAAAAGCCAGCAGCAGCATCCAGGTGTGAACTCCCCATCGAATAGTATCTGTTTTCAGTAAGTAATCATTTTGTTTCACTGATTTATTTATTTTTTTAATTAATTTATTTTTTTTAATTGGGCCGTCTGTGGTAATAGCCCTGCAGTCACCCGAAATGAGGACTATACCAGTCTGTGCTGGTCAGAGCGAGGCTGTGTGTAGACTGGTTGTTTGAGTATGCAAGTATTCACGCTCACAGTAGAGCATTGTAGAGCACGAGCGCGCTTTGAGTTCTTTTCTATAGTTTCACATTTCCCCCATGACATTTGAACAAAGTCACTTTTCAGTTCTCGTCAGCAGCGCTGACATCACATCTAACGTTTCCAACCCTCGCATAGTATGTCTGCTTAGCTGACCTCCCGGCAACCTTCTACTGTAAGGACTCGACTCTTACAGTGTGGTGGATGAAATGGAAATATTCCAGCTGCTATGCTTTGACCCTGGGACATCTCAAAACTGAAGCCTTCTTTGGAGTTATGTTCCTCTACTGATCCTACAGGTGTTTCCATCAAACAGTTAATCACTGAACTCGTGGTTCCCAGTTCACTGACGACTGTTGGTGTAGTGCTAGAGTACTGCAATATGAATCATTTAATGTGCCGGGTTCATCTAGAGGTTGCTTCACTGAACTATTCTCTCTGACTGTAATGGAGAACTACTGATTTTGGGAATATTCTTATCATATCTTGAAGTGTGATTATTTGAGTAATATTGAGCAACAACTAATTTACAATTGTTATTTGCTTGGTTAATCTTCTTTTTTTTTTTTTTTTTTTTGTTTGTTTTTTAAGCCAAAGTAAACTTATTCAAATTATTTTTTTTGCCTGACCAACAGTCAACAATGAAATATAATCAATTTGCTAAAACTAGCAGACAAGTTTAACCCAGAGCTGTTTTTGTCAGCTGCTACTAGTCCAACTTCAACATTCTGCAGTTTCCCAAAACCGTTGACAATGGAGGAGCCACAAAGACCACAAGTTTAATGAGTGAAACAGTTGTTTAAACTGTTATTTAGTAACCGTGTTGATGAGATAAGTCTGCTGCTTTATCTCAGCATGTTATTGATCAATTGGATCGCATGAAAGCCCAATTGGTCACAATCGGGTGCTTATGTGAGGAACGACTCTCCTGCAGTGCAGATGAGACGCCAGGCTGAAGTTTGCTCACCAACTCTGCAAATCAGTTTCCTGTGGGAAACCCCGCTGTAAGACATTTGGATCACGTGTCCATTGCATAGTATTTTTTTGTTATTGTTACCTGTAGAGGGTACTTGCTGCTCTGTTGATTGTTACTCTGCATGACTACATTTTTGGCAATTTGATGTCAGGCCAAGGCATACAGTTTGTACATTTGGCTTCTTTAGGTCTCTGCAATAAGTCAATATTATAATATATCTTGATCATATGATGTTCTTTTACAAAACTCTATTGTCCAAATTACTTATTCTTAGCTAATTGCAGTTAGAAGCTGATTTATCTCTCAGCTTTAGATTATTGTGTGTGTGTGTGTGTGTGTGTGTGTGTGTATATGCGTGCTACAAAGTTTATTTTATTTTTTATTTTTTATTTTTTTCCAATGCACTGGGGATAATTAACTATTGAACATATATTTGTCATTCTGCTAACATTTGCCATAAATGAGTAAATATTTTATTAATACAATTCTTTTCACAACTATATTGCCAAGCCTCAATAGTAGTTTGTCTCCATGGATGTTTTATTTGGATGGTTTGTTGTGACAGAATCTCTGACATTAGTGAGGCAGAGAAGTTCAATTTAAAAAAAGTTACATTTTCATGTAAATGTCTAAAAAAAAAAAAAATGATTCGGTCACATCTAGGCTCTTGCTGAGGGAATAAACTGAAGCTAATGGGTCTGTAGAAACAAATGCAATCTTTTACCCCCGATTGGATATTTACCTCATCAGCCATCCTGTGCAGGCATTGATTTGCCGCTGGCTACGGGTGATTCCCTCATTTGTTTCTGTGTAAACTCAGCTGAGCCCTCATGGCATTTGTGGTGCTTGGTTTAAAAACCTGATTAGCAAGCTGCGTGGGAGTTTTCACATTTACCAAGAGGCAGCTTTGGCATATGTGAAGATAAGTTAACAATATTAAGGTTGACAGAAATGTGCAGTAATGGCCCTGTGGTAGAAAACCTTTTTTCTGGATGCAAGTTTGAAATGTCAAAGTTTTATCTGTGAAAGTATCAGAGCAAACATCAAGTACATGAACACAATCACATTCATGAGCAACACTTTTGTTTACTTGCCATGGCCTTTCTTATCTTTTTTTTTTTTTTTTTTTTTTTTTTTTTACCCTCTGTGAAAATGAAATGCGACCCAATTAGCTTCAGGACTTGTCAGATTGCTGCTGTTGGGCTCATTTGGCCGACAACTTTAGTGACCAGCTGTCTGACCTTTTTTGTTCTGGTTTTCTAATATGGCTCGAATGCTCTTGGGGCAAAAATGTGATCTCCCTACATAAAACCTGCCAAACAAAGACTTTACTTGGTAAGTGGGCTGTGTTTCCTACTCCTGGTGCGCTGCATGCCACATTCCACCTCCTGAACGAGGACATAACATTTCTAGAAAGAGATACGACTTCTACTGCACAATACGTTTCTGTCCAACAACAAACTATAGACTGCTTCTGCTGTGTAACCAGCACATGCTGACGTTGAATGGCATGCTGTTTAGATGGACTTTGCAATTGTATTTTCTGCAGATGAGAAGGTTAAATATTTAGTGAGACTCTTCCATGCCATGTTCCAAGTATTGATTTTCTGTCACAGAGAACCTTTTTATTATTTGCCCTCTGTCTGCGGTGTGGGAGAATCGTAGACAAACCAATCACAGAGTCTGAATGGTACATGTTGGTTTGGGCGCAGCTGTGTGGATTGCACTGTTTGAGGAAGATGCCCTGTTTACTGATGGGAGGAATTGATTCAAGTGTTTCTGTTATTGCGTCAGAGCTGAGCTAACACAGAAACAATGACAGTCTGAGGAAATGCTGGATTTTGATTCACTGTTTCAGACGGAGTGTTGGTTATAGTCTTGAAGACGAGGGTTGTCTCTTATAGAAAAGGACTCATGAGAGAGAGAGTCTGCTTGCTTTTTAAAATGATTCAACCGAAAAGCCCGGCCCAGTGCTGCCAACTCTTTTCCAATGAAAGTAGCTAGCTAGCAGCACTGGCTCCAAAAGTCACTAAGTCTAACGAATAAGTCCTCAAATCTGCAACACATTACATCATATTTTTATATATTTATTTTTTTTGTTTTGTTTGTTTTAGCAGACGCTTTTATTCAGAGTGTCTCACATTTCTACACCGTAGGCACAACTACAGGAGCAATTTTGGGGTTAAGTGTCTTGCTCAAGGACACATCGACATGCGACTAGCAGAGCCGGAGCCGGGGATTGAACCGCCGACACTCTGATTGAAAGACGGCCCTGCTATCCACAGTCGCCGACACGGACATCTGTCCCTTCAGGTCTCCCTCCAAATTATCATTATGAACATAAACGTAATGACGTAAACAACAAATGGCTGTTATTAGTACTCGCAGCTGTCAACCTAGCAGATTGTGGTGATGTGCAATGGACGGGCAAAAAAGGTGTCTAAAGTACATAACCTACTCTAGCATTAGTTTTAATTTTATATTTTTGTACAATGTGAAAGTATTCAATCAAGTAGCTACCTATTTAGCAATCCTCTGTTTGAACAATATTTCCTGATTTAATTAATTTTTTTTGTAAAGACCATGATCGTATTTAGGCAAGGTTCTATATTTAACTATGATGCATTGAGCAGTTTGGCATATTTTGATAATCAAAGAAAAATGGGATGAATACATGGTTATATTTCCCAATCTAAAGCATGGAAAAGTGTTGGCACCAAAAGTCGGGTATAGTAATGGTGCTGATATCAACACTTTTCAACAGATGCCTAGCTACAGGTCATGATGAGGTGTCCGTGGAGTCTGCTAGTCGGGAGAGGGAAGCAGAAATGCTGCACCACTTGGTCCTGTCACAACATGATGGCCAAAAAGCTTCTTTTTCCTCCAGGCTATTGAAGTTTAGATTATAGTGTATAATATCACAGATGATTCACCAGCCACAGTCATTACTAACTTTGCTGCTTGAAAAGTCTTGACGGCGGTACCTTATCAATGATGATTGTCCCCTTTGTTTGTTTGTTATCTTTTCTTCTTGTAGTGTTGGGCTGTAGAACAAGGTGATTTGTCACACTGGCCAACCAGCAAATGAAATGTCAATGTCATCAATCTGTGTTGCTCTTGGAACAAACAACTTTAAATTAATTCAGTAAAAAAGTTTAAATTGCTTAACCATTAAACAAGGTGGAAAACAGTGTTTGGATCAATAACGCTGTCTAACCTGTGAAAACATCTCATTCTGTGACTGTAGAAGTCATTGCTACAAGATTACAACATAAACTACAAGTTGTTTTTCTTCTAAGTGAAGATCCCTTTCACTACTCGTGTAGAGAGTGAGTCCACGGTGTTGCCCAATCTTCGTGTGTGTGTGACCAAGGAAGTTGTTCTTAATGTGGTGTGCCTCTGGCCTAATACGTTAAACCTGACCAGCACTGATGCACGCACACACTCTCACTAATGTTGCTGTTTCTGGCCGTTGTTGTAGAACCCTCTTGTTTGCTCATTTGCACTTTATAGCTAGTAGAAGTGTGCTCATTGCTGTGAACCTGTGTGCAACCATTGCCGCCCTCGTGCCTGGAATAATGAGCACATGATTAGCGGTACATGATGAGCTCTCTTGCATGTTTAGGGGAGGACATGAGATAACAGATGATTCAAAATACTTCATGAAATGAACTGCATCTTACTAGATGGCTTCATTAATGACGTCATGTAGGATTTTAAGAATCTCTTTCACCTTTTTTTTTTATCTAGCCATTACTTCCAGCTGAAGAAATCCTGAAGTGACGCAGATTGAGTCCTCTACTGAGTGCTTTTCGTCATCCAGCGGGGCTGCTTAGCAACC